AAAAAAAAAAAAAAGAAATGGAAGGTCCCCATCTGAAGATAACTGCTAGATAGGCATGGTGACACATACCTGTAATCCCAGCTACCTGGGGAGTTGGAGCAGGATGATCACAAGTTGGATGCCAGCTTAGTGAAAGCCTGTCTTAATATAAAATAAAATAAAACAAAATAAAGTAAGGCCTGTAGCTTAGCGGGAGGTTCTAGGTCAGTGATGGTGAATCTCTTGGAGCCCTCAATGATACAGTCTGCTGCGGCATGTGTGCCACAGATTCACCACCACTGCTCTAGGTTCAATCAGTACCTTGTACTGCAACCCTCATCCCCAACAAACCCAGCACCAACTGGGCGGGGGCACAGCTCAGCAGTATGTGCCAGGCCCTGGGTTTAATCTCCAGCACCATGAAAAAATAAAAAATAAAATGAAAGCCACTCGCTGACATATTCCTGGGGATATTTCTGGCTGGATAAAGTAAACAAGGCTACTGAAGAACAGCAATCAATCCAGTATTTCCTCACTTTCTCCTGTTTTCTGTATAAAAGGTGTGCTCCTCGGCAGGGCTGGAACTCCCTTCAGTCTGGGAACTACCTTCCCATCTCATACGTAGATGTGTAGTCAGATAGCATCGTTAAAGTTTCATTGCACCTCAGTCTACTTTTGACAAAACCTACAATTAGCTGTGGTCATACATGGTTTATTTCATAAGCACAGCACCTTTCTACGCCTAAACCTGAAACAGCGTTCCCCCTCCTGGGGAAGGAAGCAACGCTGCTTTCTTATTGAAAGCATGATGTCACCCTCGCCTACAAAGGCCAGGTTCCAGAAGGTGTTCAGCATCACCTCTCTCTAGAGTGCCTTCTGGGAGGGGGTCCAGCAAGATCCACTCCTCCAGGGTGAAGTCCACAGCCACATCCTTAAGGGTCACTGAATCCTGAAACATTCCAAACTTGCATGCAAGAGGATGAGACAAGTCCAGGAAACTGCACACAATTCGTAAGGCTACACACAATTCTGTAGTCTTGTACTCTATGATTTGATCCCCACAACTCTGCTTCTCCACACTCTCTCCTTACAAGTTTAGTAACACACGACCACACAGATGTACCCCTACATTTCTACTATGGCTGCTACAGGTCAAATGGTAGAGTCCTGTTGCACTTGGAGAAATGAGAGAAATGATGTACAATGAAGCAAATCTTAAGGCCATTGATTCTTTGGGAAAAGAACTTTTTTTTTCTTTTGTCTTTCTGAGACAGGGTCTCACTATGCAGGTCAGGCTGGCCTTGAGCTCACTTTGTAGCCCAGGTTGGTCTTGAACTTGTAGAATTCCTCTTGCCTCAGCCTCTGGATGAGCTTACTTCTTTTTACCCAAATTAGCACTCAGTGAGCCACAGGATTAGGTTTAATCAGTAACAACACACTGAAAAACTATGCTTTTTCTTCTCTTCCCATCATTACACAGGAGGCGCCCAGCCAGCCATGTTTTCCTGACGTAGTCAGCTCCCACTGTGTTGGGAAACTGGACATCCACATGGAATAATAACAACAAAGGCAAACAAGAACAAAACAAGAAAACAAGTCTCCATGTGGCTTTTACCTTTCACAAAAACTAACAAGATGGACGGCAAATCTGAAAGTGACACTATCCAAGCTTATAGAAAATAACACAAGGGAAACTACACAACTTTAAATTTGGTGATACGGTTTTTTGGATGCAATACCAAAGGCAAGATCTATCAAAGAAAAAAGTAAATTTGACTTCATTAACATGAAAAATCTCTGCTTTACCAAAAACAATGTTAAGAAAATGAGAACATATGCCACATACTGGTAGAAATCATTTATAAAACCCTTATTTGATAAAGGGCTGGGACCTAAATTAATTAAAGAACTCTTAAAATGCAACCATAAAAAGACAACCAGCTGGTCATGGTGGCCAGCATCTGTAATCCCAGCAATCCGGGAGGCTGAGACAGTAGGAGGTTCACAAGTTGAGCCCAGCTTGGACAAGTTAGCAAGACTCTGTCTCAAAAAAAAAAAAAAAAAAAAAGAAACGTTAGGAATTTAGCTCAGTAAAAAAACTCTTGGTTCAATTCCAAGTATTGGGGGGTTGGGGATAGAAATCTAATTAAAAATGGAAAACTTATCTCAATACCTAGCCATCAAAGACACACCGCATACACAGGAAAACTTTGGATTGTGAGTAACTTGTTCTGCATGAAGAGCAAACACTGCTAATAACATTTATTAATTTTGGTTTCTTTGAGACAGGGTCTCACTGTGTAGTTTAAGCTGATCTTGAACTCACAGCACTCTCCTGCCTCAGCTTCCCAAGTGCTGGGATTACAGGTGTGTGCCACCACACCCAGCTAATAAATTTTAACTTGATAAATGAGTGATGTCTTGCACCATGATATGTGACACCAAATGTCACAGGATCATAACTGGGCCAATGGTTCTTCCTTCTCTTTCACTTTGGGACTGTGGGTGATCATCTCCCAACAGCAAGAGGTTATGGAGATCTCTTGGGAGGAGAAAAAGGTAGAACCCCTCACTTCAGATGAGATTCGGGAGATGTACAAAATGTGGGAAACTGCAACATTTTGTAGAAAAGCATCACCCAAATAATGTAGTAGCAGTGCAAGTGATGAGTTTATTTAACAATGCAAGGTCACATTTTCATGAAATCCTCAAAAGGAAGCAAAAGCAAGTGTCCCTGGACAGGTTCCTCATTACAGCTGCAGAAGAAAAGGACTTCACAGACAGCAGTGACTCAGTCACAGCGAAAGTCATCCCCCACAATAACCCTCCTCTCTTCCGTCTCCCTCACAGGAGGGAAACCAACCAGCCCTCAAAGCAAGGCCAAGGAAACCACAATGTCAATCTCAGGAAAAGCATCATTCCTTGGTGCCCCCAAGTATGTGTGCACTTCCTGGTGTTCTGCAGCTTCTCCCAGTGCCAAAGGCTCCTTCCAGGTTGGATGTGAGCAGGCTGGACCTTTAGGGGGACACTGCCCAGAAAGAAATGGATCTTGCATTGCTCCCCTGTGCAGGCTCAAGGTCATGAGCCTGGGGTCACTGGCCTTGGGTCTGTGCTACCCAGTAACATGGCTCAGGATACTACTGATACTTTCAATGAAACAAACCAAATGTCTTAAAAATCAAGCAGAATCACTCAATCTATTGTTTGTGTATAAAGAAGCAAAGAAAACTCCAGGATGTATTTACTGTTTTAACAAGATAACTCACAAACACCTAAGCCTTTCTCACAGGCACCAGAACCTGGGGTGCAGCTCCAGTCACACACAATGAACAAAATAAGAAAATCAGCTAATTCTTATTTCCACGCTAAGAAACTGTTTGGTAAACAATCGTATTTAAATAATTTAGGCGTTGGAAACTAAGCCTTGAAATTCCATTTGAAATCATCAGAACAGAAAAACAGACCTGGCAAAGTTACTGTGTATGTGTGGGGTAAGATAAAGGAGAAACAAAAAAAAATTTTTTTTGTCTTTTTGAGACAGGGTCTCTCTACGCAGTTCAGGCTGTCCTTGAGCTCACTTTGTAGCCCAGGCTGGTCTCAAACTCGCAACAATCTTCCTGCCTCAGCCTCCCGAGTGCTGGATTACAGGCGTGAGCCACCACGCCAGGCTCATGACATAAATAAGTATTTTCAGCATCACAAAGCCAGGCCATGTTGGCCTGGAACCATACAGAAAAGGCAAATCACCAAGTCAGGTTTGCAAAGGAGACCACACACCAAAGGGTTTTTTCGGATGTCTGTCCAAGAAACATTGGCAGGAGAGGCACAGGGTTTAGTTGTTTGCAGTACTGTATGGGGGATTGAACCCAGGGCCTTCACACTGAACTCCAGCCCAGCCCTTTTAAAAAATTTCAGACAGGGTCTTGTTGAGCCCCTAATTGTCCAGGCTGGGCTCAAATTTCCCATCCTCCTGCCTCAGCGTCCCAGAGAGCTGGGATGACAGGGGTGTGCCACCACACGCAGGTAGGCAAAAGGATTTTAATGCAATTACCGTGTGTGGTTCCAGATGGTTTTCTGCTTACTTGTCATGTAAAATATTCTCAAACAAAAGTAAAACTTTCTAAATTCCAAGAGCTGTCCTAGCCACAGCTCTGTGGGAAAGATAATTAAAATAGTGCAACTTTGACTGGCTTTAAAAAAACAATAGTGCAACTAGTTCGCCACGCGGTGAAGAGGGCTGTGAAATGACACGATTACAACAAATCTTAACTGCCAACTTGGCTTTTGTTTATACTCTAAAATCGGGCAACACTTCATCGGATAAATTCGAACAAGTGGTCCCACGCGTCGGAGCTGTGGAGTTTGAGTTTACAGTCGCAACAAAATAGAAACAAAAGTTTATTTCCCGAGCCAGGGTCTCGCTAGGTGGCCCAGGCTGGCCTTGAAGTCGCAGCGACCCTCCTGCCTCAGCCTCCCGGCTTGGTGACACAGGACTTCCGCTTGAGTAATTCCACTCAGTTTGGTCCGCAGGGCTTGGTGCACGAGCTCGGACCGAAGCAATGACCTCGATACAGGGCACCGAGCAGGGCCACGCCAGAGAGGGGGCGTGGAAACCGTAAGTGGGGGAGGCGTCGCTACCAGAAGCCTGGTAGGAGCCAGGAGGCCGCACAGGGATGTATTTGGAAAACTCGGGTGAATCAGATAACGCCAGGGGAGCAAGGAGAACGGGGACCAGGCCCCGAGTCGCCCCCGTGTCCCCGCCCACCTGCGGCAAAGGCGACAGAGGCCTGAGCGGCGCCCGGACTCCGGAGCTGAAGCGCTTCATTCAGTCACTTCCGGCCCCCCCCAAACACGCCCCGAGCCCCTGTCAGGGCGGCCCGTCCCCGCACTCACCGTTCTCCGCTTCTGGGTGTCGCGGCGCCCCCTCTCGTCACTACCTCAGAGCCACCTGAGGCGGGCGCCGCGCGCAATGCCTCAGGGCAGCGTGGCCCCACCCACACGGTCCTGCCAGCCCTCCCATTGGACTACGAGTGAGACTCCGCCCTCTTCGCCCTGAGTGACACCAGCGTGGAGGTCCGGTAGCTGAATCCACCCGGCTGTTACCCGAATTCCTCACCTTGGTTCCGGTCTCTAGGTGTACTTTAATCCAGTTTTTTTCCAGACCTTTACGCCCAGACTCTGGTGTCTGCCTGCAGAACATAACAGAGGGGACACAAGTGTGCGCAGGTAATTCCAGACTCAGTTTCCACATCGAAACTCTTCGTGAGAGAGCCTGGGAGGAGCAAATGCCGAGCCAGAAGGTCCCGGAGGGTGAAGAGGGCTCAGATATCCCCAAATGATCAGCCTCCTGGTCTAAGGTTGCAAAGCCACTCATCAAACTGTGACCCGTAACGCAGATACTGAAAAGTGATTTCGTCATAGCCTGGCGTGGGAACACACGCCTGTCATCCCAGCGCTGTGAAAGGCTGAGGCAGGAAGATTGCAAGTTGACCCAACCTGGGTAGTTTAGCAACTTAACTTAAGGTCGGGGTGGAGCTTGGAGTGCGGGCAGAGGCGCTACTCAGATCAGCTTCAAGCCATGAGATAAAACTGTGAGGTTTGTATTTCACACCGAAAGGAAATTTATTTTAGGTTAGTTTTTTACTGTCCCCAGGCCCCTGCCTTCCTGCCCCGTGCACCGTACATGCTAGGCAAGCGTTCTATCGCTGAGTTAACACCCCAGATTCCCTCAATCATTTTATTTATTTTGTTAATTAAGTTTATTGGCACGTTGTAGGTATACATACTGGTCATATTCATCATAGGGAATTTGTACCTGTGTATGATACAACTTGTTCCCCCCCCCCCCATTCTCTACTGTCAGCCCACCAAGGTAGTCCAAGGAAGATTTTTGAAGGTGAGGTCCCAAGGTTAAAACAGTAGCCACGACAGCGGGCAGCAGTGGAAGCGTGGAGGGGAGCAGGGAGCCCAAGGCAGAGCCTGGTTCACAGGGGGCTGTGGGTTGACTTCTTGTTCTCCCAGCCTACGGACTGCTGCCAAGCTTGTGTCTTTATTGTATAATTCTTTTCTTGCTCAGGAATCAAACTCATGACCTCATGCTTGTCAGGTAGACAGTGTGCTGCAGACTACTATATAATTCTTTTTTTTTATCGGTACCGGGGATCAAACTCACGACTGCCTGCTTACAAGGCAGGCGCTTATGCCGCTGAGCTAAATCCCCAGCCCATTTTTGGTGTAACTCTTACACAGGTTCTTATTGCGTGTTTACATTCTTACCTAGTACTGTGACTAGTGCATGTGTATCAACTTGTGCTAAGTCATGATTACATAATTATATCCCACTGTGCACTTGTGCTGGAAAATGGGGTTATTTCTTCAGGTATCCTTAGATAAAAGCGCCTGAGCTCTGAAGCAGTCTGAGTGGTTCCCCACTCCTGTCCTCACCTCAAGCCCTCTTCCCCTCCTTATTTACAGAAACATGGTTTCCATTTTTTCCTCTTTTCTCATTTTTTCTTTTCCCTTCTTCCCTTTCCTCTTCCTGGTTCTCCTTCCCATGTGAACACATTCTTTCTGTTTCACAATATCCATTACACATTTTGGTCCTTATTTACACTTTGACTTTCTACACCAGAGAAACAAAGCTGTACCTCCACACGCGTGCCCCGTTTATTTCACTTAAGAGCGTGGCCTCAAGGTGCATCCATTTAGCTAGAAATGTCTCAGACTTACCCTTGTTTACCGCAGAGTAGTACTCCATTGTAGAAAAAGCAGATCTTCACTATCTCTTCATGCCCTGATGGGCATTTGGGCTGACTGCATGATTCAGCTTTACAAACTGCGCTTCTATAAACATGGGTGTGCATATATTGCTATATTATGATGTTTTAAATTCTTTTTGGAAGATACCCAGAAAGGGAATAGCTGGGTCAAATAGGACTGATAATCCTAGTTTTTTGAGGAATCTCCACTCTGATTTCCACAGTGGTTACACCAGTCCGCATGCCCACCAACAGTGGAGAAGGTTCTTTTTCCTCCACAGTCCCTCCAGCATTTGTGGTTGGTTGACTTCTTTTTTTTTTAATTTAAGGAGAAAAAGGAAAAAAAAAAACAGAAAAAGGGTACAAGTAATATAAAATTTAAAAAATAAACAGTAAGAAATCTCTAGTTAATAGATTACATATTCTCATCTTAGAAATAGTTGTTCAAGTTACAAAATTGAAGCACATAAAGTGGACTTTCAAACAGTGAGAGTGCAAACAGTGTTGGCTGACTTCTTGATAACAGCCTTTCTTCGTGGAGTGAGATGGAATCTCTGCTTTGTTTTACCTTGTATTTCTCTAGTGACCGTCGGTCACTTTTAAATGTAAGCTGCTGTGTGTAGAGGACCATGTAGATGGCTCTCCTTGCATAAAACAGTTACGTCCACTTTGGCTAACCCTGGCTCCACCTCTGTGTACCGATGTGTACAGACTGACTGAGCTGTTTCCTTCTTCGTCCAGTTGGCTCTAAGCAATGTAAACTGGGCTGGCTGAGGTGTTGACGGGTAATCTTTGAAGCCAAGTGACAGCTGTGTTTCCTCAGCGGGATGGCAGAGCCAGCTCCAGGGCCATCAGCTGGATTCAAGTCTCAAGGTAAGAGGCTGTGACTTCCCAGGACAAATCAGGACCGAGGCACTGGCCTGCTAAATGTTGAGTACCACCTCAGTTGTGTTTTGCAGGGGGGTCTTCCTGCATACCTTCTGTCTGCATATCCCAGAGCTCTTTTCTGGCCTCCCGGCCGGCTCAACTAGTGTTACATTAATTCCCGCCATTCTCACCGTCACGCATCCTTCAGCCCCTGATTCTTCGGGAATTAATAAATTCTAGGCTAGGCCCTGGGTCCAGGCCTTCGTCCCGTGAATCCCCATCTGGGATGAGGACCCCGTGGCTGGCCGTAACTGTCCAGGTGTCTCAGTGTCTTCATTCTCATGGCAGGGTGCAGTGGAGGTGGCAGGCTGAAATTAACTCTCCACAGTTCTAATAATGTTTCCATCCAATAACAAATACATAGCTGGCTTTGAACTCACTTTGTAGCCCAGGCTGGCCTCAAACTTGTAGTGATCCTCCTGCCTCAGCCTCCCGAGTGCCGACCACCAGTGCTCTCTTGAACAAGTGTATTGGCATTGGCTTAGCTGCGGTGTGGCTCTGATTTTCCTTCAAAATAAAAAACTCACACACTCCTGGGATGCAGGTCAAGATCTTACTGTGTTTAGCAAACTGTGGTAAAATTTCTCATGCAATTATTAACATGTTGGGACAGCTAGCCTGAGGAAAAAACACACTCTCCAATGTGCCCTTTCCAAGCGTACAACTCAGTGCTCATCACATTCATGAATACGTACAATCATTACTAAAAATCCGTTCTAGAGCATTTTTGTCACCCTTAAAAGAAACACCTGTACTTGTCTGTTTTTTTACCTTCTTCCTTTGGGCCGTGTTCTAGGTACTCACTAAATCTAGTTTTGTGAGAATACACTTCCCTGTTCTAGATTTTTGTGTGAACGGAATTACACAGCCTGGGGTCTTTTTATCAGTATACGTTTGTAAGGTATAATAAATACCGCCATCGTGGGAATCGGTGTGTATATCCTTCGCTTCTTGATGCTGTTTATTTTCCCTCCCTGTCTCTCGTCTTCCCCTTCCCATCTCTACGAAGTCCACCTTCCCGCGTCCAGTCATCTATCTTTTGTTTTGCTCTGTGAGTTACCGATGGAAGAGAACACCGTGAACACCATGTGACATTCAATTCCTGGGTGTGATTGGTTTCACTTAGTGCTGTGACCTCAGGGTGCATCCATTTGCCCACAAGTGACTCACAGCCTGGGTCTTTTTTTTTTTTCCTTTTTATCGGTACTGGGGATCGAACTCACGACCGCCTGCTTGCAAGGCAGGTGCTTATGCCGCTGAGCTGAATGCCCAGCCCCTAGCCTGTATCTTTGTGATTACTTTTTTTTGGTACGGGGAGTTGAACTCACGATCTCACACTTGCTAGGCAGTTGCTGTGCCCCCGAGCTGTGTCCCCAGCCCCGTGATGGACTTCTTTAATGGAAACAGCAAAGGTTGCTGCCTGTGTGTTAGAAACAAAAGGCTCCATCCACATGGCCCAGGCTGGTGGCCAGAAGTTGGAATTTGGAGGTGGCCTTCCTACCTGGCAGGCTGGTTCCCAGCTTTCTCTCTGCTCCCTTCGTTTTTATTTTTTGGGTACTGGGAATCGAACTCAGGACCTTGTCTTGCCAGGCAGGCGCTTATGCTGCTGAGCTGTACCCTCAGCCCCTCTGCTTGCTTTGAAGGGACCATGTAGGCGTCTGTCCTCAGAACCAGAGTGACTCAAACTCCACCGCCTTGTACATGGTGCTGGCCGCTCTCCCCTCTGCCGTGTCTCTTCCTGTCTTCCGCCTCATTTCCGCCACACGTGACCCAGGGATGGAGGACCACCATCTCAGTAAACCCTGCCCTCCCTGCTCGTCAAGAGTGAAGTTGGGTCCTTACATTGTCCCACATGCAGTAACTTAGCAAAACAGACCGATGAACTAAATATAAGAGGTAAAACGGCTACTATCAAAACCCACACGCTGGTCTAGGCATACAGTTCAGTGGAAGAACACCTGTCCAGTGTCCACAGTGTCCTAGGTTCCATCCCCACCACCATGACAAGATTGACAAATCAAGCATTTAGAAGGCCGAGGCAGGAGGATTACTGCAAGATCCAGACTAGCCTGGGCTACACAGGGAGACCCTGTTTCAAAACAAAAAACAAAAAACCAACCAGAAGTCACCAACCAACTAAGCCCAAATGGAACAAAAAAATGATCAAGAAAGTGAAAGCCAGTGTGGTGGTGCCTACCTGTAATCCCAGCACTCAGGAGGCTGAGGCAGGAGGATCACCTTGAGTTTGAGACCAGCCTAACCTAAACAGCCTCCATTAAAAAAAAAACCCTATTAGAACTGTTGGGCAGTGGGGGTAGGAGAACACTGCAGTGTGGAAAACAATATGGTGATTCCCCATAAAACTAACAACAGGTCCAGTGTGTACGTGGGTTGTTGGTTATTTGTTTATGTTTCTGGTGCTGGGAGAGAACCCAGAGCTTCAAGCTCCACCACCAAGCAATATGGCCAGCCCTGCGTGAGCCCAGTCTGAAGTCACTAAGGACAACCTGGCTGTGGTGCTGTGGATTAAATTCAGGGCCTTGACACTAAGCTACATCCTCAGCCTTTATTGTTACTATTTTTTTTTTGAAACAGGGTCCTGCTAAGTTGCTCAGGCTGGGCTCAAATGTGTGATCTTCCTACCCCAGCCTCCTGAGGACCTGGATCTTAGGTGTGAGCCATTGTACATGGTTCCCACAGCACCTCACAATACAGCCACTCTGGCAACTAAGCTTTTACCTGTGGACCTCATCAAATCAGCGGGTATGCTGAGTGTGTTCCCAAAATAAGGCAAGGGATTTAAAGAGATCTTGGTGCATCTGTGTTCACAGGAGCATTATTCCCAGCAGACAGAAAGTGAAAGCAACCCAGGTGTCCATCAGGCAATGATTGTGCCAACTGAATGTCAAATAAAATGTTATTTGTCCTTAGAAAAGGAAGCGAATGCTGGCCTATGCTACATGGGGATAAACCTTGAGGACATTTTGCTGAGTGAAATAAGCCAGTCAAAGAGGTACGTAGAGTGGTCAAGTCTCTAGTGACAGAAAGTAGAATTGTGCTGATACCAGTTGGATATAGTGTGGTGGTGAACATCTGTCATCCCAGTACTGGAGAGGCTGAGGCAGGAGGATCGACGGGAGTTCAAAGCCATCCTGGGCTACATAATGAATTCATGGATCAACAGGAGTTCAAAGCCAGGCTGAACTACATAGGTGACCTTGACTCAAAGAACAAAATAAAAATCAGAGTGGCCATGATGGACTTAGCATAGTCAGCCCTGATCATAGAAGCACTGGGATTACAGCTGCCCAAGCCTGGCTGGGACGTCCTATGGCCACTGCCTGCCTAATTGGTGGTGTCTGCCACTTGCTTTGCTTTGGGCACTGTGGGCCATGCTGTGGTAACTTTTTATGACGCCAGGGACACAGTCTGCAGGCTGCAGAGGTGGATCTAGGAGGCTTCGAGGCCCAAGGGAAATTAGCCCAGTTTCCTCTTTCAGAATTTTATTCTTTGCAAGATAAAAAGAGTTCTATAGTAGAAATGGTGTCACAAGGTCAGCGTAGTTACCACTGAACCATAGCTAAAAACTTACGTTGGGGCTGGGAGTGTAGCTCAGAGGTAGAGATAGTGGTTTGCATGTACAAAGCCTTGGGTTCTCATCCCAGCACCAAAAGACAACATAATGTATTAATTCTTCCTCTAACATGAGTGTCACTTGAAATAATTATTCGAAGCCAATGAGGTTGATCACAAAGACATGTTTTTGTTGTTTTTCTAGTGCTAGTGAACATAGGAATTGTCTTATGGATACCATAGCCATTTCCACCCCCGCCCCCAAAGTTTTCTAAGTACGTAGTGAAACTGAACCGAAATAAGTATTCTTTGAGCGCGAAATGTACGGCTTACGGTTTTCATGAACTTACTTCTTGGCTGAGATAATTTTCTTCCCCCAAGTTAGCACTTGGGGCGCAGGCACCACAGACAGCTCCAGTCCCACTTGTAGAGGATGTGGTGGGTGGAAGCTGTCAATTCTCAAAGATCTGTGGAACCAGACACTTTGTTAGCTACTCAGGTCGCTTTTTAGGATTTGTAAAGGAGAGTTGCAGCTTTATGCAAGCCCAGGAAGACATCTGACTCCCTTTCTGGTTTGGACGTCTCGGCTCTGGACAAAAGACCTCACTTTACCTAAAACTGAATCAGAAATTGCCTGCGGCACTCAGCAGAAGACATGGGCAGATACCAACACTCAACTTGGCGCATAGCTAGTTCTGCTGCGACGCACACAACCGCAAGCCGCTACAGACTCCAAGAGCCCGCTATTTTAGGGCTGGCTCAGGAAGCGTCTTCCGCCTCCGCTGTCACTCAGGAGGTGAGAGGGGCGTGTCCGGATAAACTATCCAACCAGAGGCGCCCTTGGAAAGGTGGGGGCGGGACGACGCGACGCCAGCCGGTTTGGAGGACGCTACGCTCGGCCGCTCTGCCCCTCGCGTCTCGCTGCTGCTGGAGGACTTCAGGTGGCCCCGGGACCGTGAGGGCCGCGGGAGGTGGGGAAGGAAGCCGGGAGATGGTGAGTGCGGGGAGATGGGGCGCAGGTTCTGGTCGGAGCAGGCCGGAGGGGGCTGTGGTGGTACCCGGGCTACCCGAGGCGGGCGCGCAGGGCGGCCCTCGCTCCCCTCCGCCGTGGGCGGGACGGGGCTGCGGCGAGGGTCGGGGGCGGGTTCGCGCGTGGCGGGAGCTGTGGTCTGTGAGGTCCCCGCGCCCGCCTTGCTCTGTAGGGGTCGCCCCTTTCCCCCCGCAGGTTACAGATGCACGGCAGGCGGGGACCCAGACCCACAGCCCTGCATCCCAGCTCGCCCCTCCCGGGGCTGGCAGTGATGCCTAGATTTCTGGGTCCCCTCCCACGCCCCCAGATGCCAGCTTCATCCTCCGTGGGGCCAGCATCATCTATCAGCTGTTACTCCTGCCTGGTGCATTTCAGTCAGGTGCAGTATTTTCATTCTCGTGCTGCACAGATGAATTTAGTGAAACGATTAGATTGTTTGCGGATGTCTTTATGAGTGGAAAGCGCAGAACGAGCCCCTAGAGGTTGTGGTATAAAATCCTTGGGCCTCCGCTTTCATTGCCTTTCCCGGGCGACTGCATCCTGGGAAATTTCTCTGGATCGAAGTTGTGCTCTGCAAACTTTGCAGGTGCACCAGGCCACCTCTCCGCCATCCCGGTTTACTGCCTCGCTATAAAGGACACCATGCGCCTTTCCCCTCCAGGAGCACAGATACTTTGTGGCATTTCATGAATGACATCTTCCTCTAGGATCGTTCAGACGGGACATAGAAACACTGGGAGGCAAAAAGCTTACGGAAGCACCTGTGTAAGAAACCGTCTACAGTGCTTCCCCCCACAGCCCCCACAACTATCCCCTCTCAGCCTCCACAACTATGGGGGACCTGGCCAAGATCCCCAACTGCCTGTTTGAGGGACATGGCGACACGATGAAATAAGAAACAGAGACGGTTTTAATAATGTACGGTGGGGGGCTGGGAGGTCGGTGCTTCAGAATGGACAGAGACCCAGATGCTCTAAGCCAGCCTCTGTTTATGGGGTGTGCACTATGCAGGAGGGCCAGCCAGAGATTCCGGGGTGGATGATGCTGCCACGCAACCCCGTGAGTGGGAGTGGAAGGCCCATCCAAAAAAGTGAATGGGAAGTCTTCTAAGGGTGACACCGTGATCCCAAGCCTCCATTTATCCCTTAGAGAACTGTGCAAAATTAGCCATTGTGAATTTGTGCCAGCAACACACAACAAAATCTAGGTTCTTACTCTCATAACGTAGAATCTTTATAGAGCAGGAATTTTTCACTTTAAACTTTTTTTTTGTTTTATAGATCTTAATTTCTGTCAAAAAGCTTGCAGTAGGTAAATCCAAGATCTCATGGATGTTTTACCCTATGTTATCTTGGTTTTTTGGAGACAGGGTCCGCTATGCAGTTCAGGCTGACTTTGAACTTACTATGTAGCCTAGGCCGACCTCGAACTCACAGCGACTTCCTGCCTCATCCTCCCGAGTGCTGGGATTACAGGCGTGTGCCAATATGTCCCCTTGTTATCTTCTACATGTTTTATAGTTTTTATATGTTTCCGTAGATCTATGATCCTTTTAAACATTTTTGTAGGAGGCATAAAGTCTGTGTAGATTTGTGTTTATTTCTTTATTTTGGTGGCCAGTTTTTCCAGGATTGTTTGTTGAAATGACTTTTCCATTGAATTGCCTTTGATCTTTTGTCAGAGAGAAGTTTTACTCTGTGGGTGTGAGTTTATTAAAAAAAAAACAATCAAGCAAAAACCAATAAAGCAAAAACAAAAGCCCTTGACTTTTATCTAGTAGACATAAGTGTACTTTGTATCGTGATGCATTCTATCCTTCAACCTATCAGTGTTTTGTTTCCTCCTGGTTCTAGAAATTTATTTGTGTTCTTCCAGATTTTCTACATAGACAGTCCATTATATATAACAAGGACTTTAAAAAAAATTTCTTCCTTCCCAATGTATTTAGGTGTTTTGTTCCTTTTTTTTGCTTTGGTCTATTTTTTGGTACCAGGGATTGAACTCACGACTGTGCGCTTGCAAGGCAGGCGCTTATGCTGTTGAGCTAAATCCCTGGTCCTTTTCCTGTCTTTTTGAGACAAGGTCTTACTGTGCAGTTCAGGCTGGCCTTGAGTTCACTTGTAGCCCAGGATGGTCTTGCACTCACAACGATCCTCCCGCCTCAGCCTCCCGAGTGCTGGGATTACAGCTCGGCTTTTTATTGCTTTTTGTCCTCTTGCATTAATTCTGTTTTGATCATCATGTGGAAAAGGAGTGATGGGTGGGGACATTTTTGTCTGCGGTCTCATTTTACCAGGAAAGCATACTGTTTCTCACTCTTGGTTTATGCTTTTAGCTGTAGAGTTCTCCTGGACGTTGCTTTTCAAGAATTCTCAATTCCCAGTTTCCTGTCACAAAAGCCGGATGAAAAAAGCAAACAAACAAATCCTGGTGGATTTTGGCAGTCGCTTTTCCATCTGCTTCTATCAATTAGCTTCGCTTTATCCTTATCAAATGGAATGATCTTTTGAAAGAAGCAACTTTTTTTTTCAATTTTTATTTTTTATCAGTACCAGGGATCGAACTCATGACCACACACTTGGAAGGAAGGCGCTTATGCCGCTGAGCTAAATCCCCAGCCCCAAAGAAGCAACTTTTGATTTGGTTTAATTTCTCTTTTAAAATATTGTTCTCTTTTTTGTGCTTCCTTTGGATTTAATTTGCTTTTTTTCTTCCCAATGTTGGTGCTCAGGTATGATTATAGTTCTTCCATGCTAGTGTGTGTGACCCATGATATGTCTCCATCTAGGCACTTCCTTTGCTGCTTCCCATAAGTTTTTTTTTTGTGTTTTTGAGACAGGGTTTCACTATGCAGTTCAGACTGGCCTCGAACTCACTACATAGCCCAGGCGATCCTCCTGCATCTGCCTCCTGAGTGTTGGGATTACAGGCATGCACCACCACGCCTGGCTATCGGTATATTTTAGATGTGCATAATGATAACGTTCACCATAGGCGATTTGTACCTGTGTACGGTGTATCTTTTTTCTTTTTTTCCCCATTCCCTGCCCTTCCCTTCAAACCCTGTTCCCTTCCTTATTTACAAAAGCATCATTTCCATTTTTCATCCTATCCCCCCCCTTTCCCCTCCTCCTGAAATAATTTTTCATTGCTCTCGAAATTTCCCTTTTCAGCTGTGGGTCATTCAGTCTCCGAGTGCTAGGGAATTTGTCAGCGGGATTCCTGCCATTGATTGCCAGAGAGCATATTTTGTGGGATTTCTGTTCTTTCTGGTTTGTTGACGCTGTTTTGGTCCCACGGTGCCGTGTATCACCGCGAGTGTCTCACGTGACCTTGAGAAGGGTGTCGCTACAGTTAGACGCATTCTGTGGGGTTCCAGGACCCGCCCTTCTTGGATGGTGCTATGTGCTCCCCGGTTTTCTGCCCGCTGGATCTGTTTATTTTTGCTGTTTGTGGTGCTGGGGATGGAGGGGACAGCACATAGGCCGGTACTCTTGTTCTCCTCCTCTTCTTCTTTTTTCGTTTTCTTTTGCGATAGGATCTTGGCAGATTGCTTAGGCTGGCCTCAAAGTTGCAATCCCCCTGCCCCAGCCACCAGGGTACTCGGCACTGCAGGTCTGTCCCACTACACCAGGCTGCTGCCTCATTTTAAAAGGATATTTTTGCTTGATACAGAATCCTAAGTGGATTTTTTCCTTTTATTACTTTAAATATTTCACTGTGCGGCGGTCTCCTGAGTTGCAATTGGCCTGACGTATGAACAACTTGGGTTATGACCAGAAGTTTACTTTTTTTTCTTTTTCTTTTTTCTCGGTACCAGGGATCGAACTCATGACTGCCCACTTGCAAGGCAGGCGCTTATGCCGCTGAGCTAAATCCCCAGCCCCGAGAAGTTTACTTTTAACTTATGATCTAAGTTTTTTTTTTTTTTTTGAAACTGAGACTCGAACTCAGAACCTCATGCTTGCCAGGCAGGTACTGTGCTGCTGAGTATATCCCTGGCCCTCTTTTTTTGTCTTTTTGACACCGGGTCTCGCTATGCAGTTCAGGCTGGCTTTGAGCTCACTTTGTAGCCCAGGCTGGTCTCAAGCTTGCAACGATCCTCCTGCCTCAGCCTCCCGAGTGCTGGGATGACAAGTATATGCCACCATGCCCAGCTATGATTAGAGTCCTGAATGCCGGCTGCTGGTGCTTCCTGATGGTCCTGGATATAGGTTTAACCCTTGTAGAGTCTGGAAGGACTATTACAACATCCTTTCCTGTATGGGGTTGAGAAATCCTTGGCCCAGTGTCTCTCCAAGGACACTCAGGTCTGCCTGTGTACAGAAGAGACTTTGACAGCCGTGGAGAGGGGCCTGGGGCTTCAGCGGATATCCTGAGTCACAGCCAGCTCTCAGGAACGCATCGGGTTCCTAAGCTGTACTCTGGGCTCTTCAATCTCATTTGCGTGGTTTCTGAAAATAAGTACAGTGTAAACACATCCTTGTCTTTGTACTGAGACTTTTTTACCCTCTGGTTCTTTCAGTATTTTTGGTCTTTGACTTCCCCCCTGCATTTTGAACACAATACACTTGTGATATGTGCCTTTTTATTTTTAAGACAGGGTCTCCCCTGTAGTTCAGCCTGGCCTCGAACTCACTGTGTAGCCCAGGCCGACTTCCCACTCAGCCTGTCCCCTGAGTGCAGGGCTTCCAGGTGTGTGCCAGCACACACACCCAGCTATCTGTGTTTTTGTTTTGGGGATCGAACTCATGACCTCACACTTGCCAGGCAGGCACTTGTGCCACTGAGCTAAATTCCGGGCCCTTGTGTGTGTGTGTGTTTGATATTTATCTGACTTAGTATTCACTGGAGCTTTCTGGATCTGTTTGGTGTTATTAATTGGGGGAAAATTTCAGACATTGTTTTAGTTAATCTTGTTTCTTTGGTATATTTCCATTACATGTATGTTATACTTTGTGTAATATTCAAAATATAATAGATACTCTGTTTTTTGTTCTTTCTGCATTTTAGTTATGGAAAATTGTGACTTTTCTTTGAAGGTCATTGATTCTTTACTTGGACATTGCTACTCTATTGATTATTCCCTCAAAGATACTTTTTTTAAAAAAACATCTTCCTATGTAGTCCAGGCTGGCCTCAAACTCATGGTGACGCCCTGTTCCTCCCCAGTGCTGGGACGACAGGCATGCACCCCATGCCCAGCTCAGAAGCATTCTCCATTTATGTTATAGTTTCTTTTCTTTTCTTTCTTTCTTTTTTGTTTTTTGGTACCTCATGGGATCGAACTCATGACTGTGCGCTTGCAAGGCAGGCTGTGTGTGTGCCGCTGAGCTAAACGCTGGCCCTAAAGCTGATTTTCCCTACGATCCCCTGTGACTCTTGCTTAGTCTGCTTACCCTCCTGTCTCTTCTTGCAAAGTTCCACCATCTCCACCAGTACAGTGGCGATGCAGTACACATCACCCATGCACAGCAGGCCTTTGTACTGTTGGATGTTCTAGAAGGTTCTCTGTTAGTACCTTAGCATATAAATCAGGTGCCCTTCATCCTCAATTTCTTCGTCTGTTCCTTCTCTTTTAATAGGGATTGCAACCAAGGGATCAAATCCACGGCTTCACACTTATGGTTTGGCCAGGCATGGTGGTGGTCCCTAACCATAATCCCAACTACTCTGAGGCTGAGGCAGGAAGATTGTGAGTTTGAGGCCAGCCCGGACAACTTAGCGAGACCTCATCTCAAAATAAAGAACATGAACCAGGGATGGCAGGGCACAGGAGTAATTTCAGTGCGTGGGAAGCTGAGGTAGGAGGGTCACTGTGAGTTCAAAGCCATCCTGGACTGCAGTGTGGTCCTGTCTCAAAAAAGTAAAAGTTTGTTTACCTTACAGTTCTGGAGGTCACGAGCATTTGCCTGGCTCTGGTAAGGGGTGCCGCTGCTCCATTGTGAAGCCTGTGTGTGCAGAAGGGAGCACTGTGGGTCAGACCGAGGGGAGGCCAGGCTTGCCTCTGTCTTATTTTTCTTATTGCTGAGACAAAATACCCAGCACCCAAAGTTAAGAGAGGGGAGTTTTATTTAGCTTACAGTCTGTAGAAGTTTCGATCTGTAGTTGGCTGGCTTCAAGGCAGAGTGGCACATGGCAGAGAGGCGTTTCAAAGGAGAAGCAGTCCAGTGCATGCAGCAGACCGCAAAACAGCAAGAGCATCCTCCTGCCCTCTTATCTTACCCAGGATGCCTAGGGTTCTGGAGCCTAGCATTGCATTGTGGGAAGCAATTCTAGCGTCACACACTCTGAATCCGGACTTCTCTGAAAAGTCCCATCTATGACCCAATGAGGCTTTGGGGGGCATTTAGACACAGCCATGGCCTTGTACTTGGTAGGTAAGTGCTCTACCCCAGCCCTTGTATCCTCTGTGGGTTTTGTTCTGTTGTTATCCATAGTCATAGGGTTTAATGTGATATTTCAACTCATACATAAAATATACAGTCATCAAATCCAGCCGCACTGTATCCCCCTCCCCACACTCACATACCTTTCTGACCTCTGGTAATTACTGTTCTACATCAGGACAATTTTTAGCTTCCGTGTATGAGATAGAATGTGTGGTATTGGTCTATTTCCGTATGGACTGTTTCATTTAATATCTTCCAATTCTGTCTGCTTTGTTGCAAATTATATACCTTTGTGTTTTCTTTTTTTTTTTTTAAAGGTGTATCATCTTTTACTTTTTAATGAAAAGGAAATAATAATAAGAATTCAGTGCATTGTCGGGAGATGACTTGAAAGTTTAACTCATACAGCTTGCCTGATTGCTGTGGACTGTACTTGCTTAACTCCTCTAACTGCAGGCTGATGGGATGGGAGCCCGGGTGCAACCCGGTGATACACAGATGCTGCAGGATCTTAAAGCTTTAGAGGAATATTCACTCTACAGAGTCACTTGCAAAGGAAAAAGGAAATAAATACATTTTCTCAATAGAGAAACAGATTCCTGATGACCAAGTTAGAGCATAAATATTTAGAGACTGTAGAATCACGTGTGAATTTCTTAATGGGTCAAATGGAGTCTGACCCATCTGCCTTTAATGTGTAAATATGTGCAATAAACTTTAGGACTCAGTGGCCTTTGAGGATGTGGCTGTGAACTTCACCCAGGAGGAGTGGGCTTTGCTGGATCCTTCCCAGAAGGAGCTCTACAGAGATGTGATGCAAGAAACCTTTATTAACTTGGCCTCTATAGGTAAGAAGAAAATCATTTCCATACTCAGTCCATTTGAGAGCAAATATGACTTGTTCTTCAGCGAGGTTCTAAGATTTAACTGTGGAAGGTGCATAGCTTAGTAAGTAAACTTGGCCTGTTACCAGCTCAGTGATAGACCTAGATTCTAATAATCTTCACATAATTTCATATCCTCCTAAAATGACTTTTCCGGCTTGGTATTTTAGGGGAAAATTGGGATGAACACACCATTGAAAATCAGCACAAAAACCAGGGAAGAAATCTAAGGTAAGTTTTATGTTAAAAAAAAGTAGTTTCCCATTAGAAAAATCTTAGTGTGTCGTAAAATTTTAAAAAGCAAGTAGACAGAATCCAGTTTCATAGTTACATCGTTCTGGAAAAATTTTTACCAGGAATGTTCTTCAGTGATGTAAGTATTCAGCATTTGAAAAGTGATTCACGTCTAAAGAATATTAAACTGCATGTCATGACTAGTACTGTTTTGGTAATAGTCTTGGTCGAACACCTAGTGCATGCATTTATGTTCTTGCTCCATGAAAATAGTAAAAGTGTCATCCTGTTACCTATTAATAATTGCGAAGTATTTAATGATCATTAATAATTATAAAAATCATCAATAAAAAAGCCACTAATAGTGCATTTCTCATATTTTACAGAGGTCATATAGAGGAGAGACTTGGTGCAAAGAAAGCAGGTCGATGCAGGGAAACCGTTGGCCAGATTCCACATCTTACACGGAACAAGACAACTCTTCCTGAATCAAAACCCTATGAGTGTAGCATGTGTAGGAAAGTCTATATGTGTCACTCATCGCTTAACAGACACATGAAGTCTCATGATGGATGCAAAACTTACGAATGCCACAAACATGGAGAGAAGTTGTTTGAATGTAAGGAATGTGGGAAGACATTCAGCTTTCGAAGTTCGTTTCGAATACATGAAAGGACGCACACCGGAGAGAAGCCTTATAAATGTAAGGAATGTGGGAAAGCTTTCAGCTGGCCCAGTTCCTTCCAGATCCACGAGAGGACGCACACGGGAGAGAAGCCGTATGAGTGTAAGGAATGTGGGAAAGCCTTCATTTATCACACGACCTTTCGAGGACACATGAGGATGCACACGGGAGAGAAACCGTATAAATGTCAAGAATGTGGGAAAACCTTCAGTCATCCCAGTTCATTTCGAAACCATGAAAGAACTCACTCTGGAGAGAAGCCCTACGAATGTAAACAATGTGGAAAAGCCTTTAGATACTACCAAACTTTTCAGATACACGAAAGGACTCACACTGGAGAGAAACCCTATCAGTGTCAGCAGTGTGGTAAAGCGCTCAGTTGCCCCACGTCTTTTCGAAGTCATGAAAGGATTCATACTGGTGAAAAACCATATAAATGTAGGAAATGTGGCAAAGCCTTCAGTTTTCCTAGTTCCTTTCGAAAGCATGAAAGAATTCATACGGGGGAGAAACCTTACGCTTGCAAAGAATGTGGGAAAGCATTCATTTCCCTTCCAAGCTACAGGAGACACATGATTATGCATACTGGAAATGGGCCTTATAAGTGTAAGGAATGTGGCAAAGCCTTTGACTGTCCCAGTTCATTTCAGATTCATGAGCGAACTCACACTGGAGAGAAGCCCTACGCATGTAAGCAATGTGGGAAAGCCTTCAGTTGCTCTAGCTCATTTCGAATGCATGAAAGGACTCACACCGGTGAGAAACCTCATGAATGTAAACAGTGTGGTAAGGCCTTCAGTTGTTCAAGTTCTGTTCGAATCCATGAAAGGACTCACACCGGGGAGAAGCCTTACGAGTGTAAACAGTGTGGGAAAGCCTTCAGTTGTTCTAGCTCTTTTCGAATGCATGAAAGAATTCACACCGGAGAGAAACCCTATGAATGTAAACAGTGTGGGAAAGCCTTCAGTTTTTCCAGTTCATTTCGGATGCATGAAAGAACGCACACTGGAGAGAAACCTTACGAATGTAAACAGTGTGGGAAAGCCTTCAGCTGTTCAAGTTCCTTTCGAATGCATGAAAGAACGCACACTGGAGAGAAGCCCTATGAATGTAAGCAGTGTGGGAAAGCCTTCAGCTGTTCAAGTTCCATTCGAATCCATGAAAGGACGCACACAGGAGAGAAGCCCTATGAATGTAAACAGTGTGGGAAAGCCTTCAGCTGCTCCAGTTCTGTCCGAATGCATGAAAGGACTCACACTGGAGTGAAACCCTATGAATGCCAGCAATGTCATAAAGCCTTCAGTTGTTCCCGTTCATTTCGGATCCACGAAAGAACTCACACTGGAGAGAAACCCTACGAATGTGGGAAGTGTGGGAAAGCATTCAAGTGTTCCCGTTCCTTTCGAATACATGGAAGAACTCACAGTGGACAGTAGCTCTTTCAGTGTAAGTAGCATAGAAAGCTTTCAGTTGTCTCATTGTCCTCTGGAGATATGAAAGAACTCTTGCTATAAAGAAACCCTGTGAATATAAAATACGGAAGAAGCAGCAAGTTCAGAGACCTTGCCCGGTATACTTAAGGTCTTGGTTTTGATTCCTTTGCACTGCAGCAAGGTGAAAAATAAAACAGGAAACTTTCAAGTCTCTAGGTGTGAATACAAAAAACAACTCAGAATAGAGGGAAGCCCTGTGACTAGATGCAACATGGGAAAATCTTCATTGATCCTATATCTTTTAGAGGCTGCATTGAGAAGGCACGTGGAGAAAAATGCTACAATGTAAAGAATGTATAAAAGCCTCTAGATCCCTGTTTGTTTGGGAAGCATAAACAGGCTCAGACTGGAGAGCATCTTATTCAGAGTAAACAGTGTGGGAAAATCTTCAGTTGTTCACATCCCTGCAAAACGAGGGAAAGGCACGTGATTAAGAGTTATAAGAGTAGAAGATAATGGAAGAATTTCCATTTTATCGTATAGTTAAGTTATATCATGTAAAACTTTAGACACACATGAAGACTCCCACTGGGGAGAAATCTTACAAATGTAGATAACATAGAAGAGTCACATCATGAAAGAAATGTAAAACTTATAAGCATTGAATCAGTTGCTTATTTTTAAAGTATATTCATGGACTACAGATTTCTATTTATTACTTTGGCAGGTGAACATTGAGGCGAGATAATTCTGTGAACTCTGGTCGCACAGTATTACACATGTTTAATAAGTACTGCTTTTTCATTAAATCAATTAGTATAATTTTCTCATTCTCTTTTTTTTTTCTTTTTGAGACAGAGTCTCTCTTTCTGCAGTTCAGGCTGGCCTTGAGCTCACTTTGTAGCCCAGTCTGGTCTTGAACTCTCAACAATCTTCCTGCCTCAGCCTCTCGAGTGCTGGGATGACAGGAACGCACCACCATGCCTGGCTTCTCTTTCATTTTTGACGTCTGTTGGATTCATGGTTGAACCTACCTGTGTCTGTGATATGAAATTCCTTGTATTTTTATACAGTTTTGAGTTCTTTGTGAAAAGAACCATTAAACAATGAAAACTTGGAAATCTGAATATTCCTACTGGTTTTGTGGGTCAGATAATAGATATTCTTTATGAATTAAACACATTCAAGTTGGTTGTTTTGAGACAGAGCATCACAGTGGCCCAGGCTGGCCTTGCATTTGCAACAATTCTGCTTCAGCCTTCTGAGTCGGGGGGTTAAGAGGGGTTCACGACCATGCTCAAGCTATACATTCATTCTTTCTGATTGCAAGAAACTTTTTTTGAGAGGGCAGAAGAGTCTCATTCAGTTTTCTGTGTTAATAGTTTTATACATTTGTGAGTATGCAGGCTTTATCTTAATGTATCCTGTTGCTTGAATTATGCTTTTGCTCTTTGTTTTCCTCTTGGACATTAGCATCCCTTCTTGCTGTGGTTTATAAAATAGACTTTACATTAAATAGAGACCCATGATAGTACAATGTATCCTATAGTTGGACATGGCTTTCCTAGAGCGTGTTAATGTTGCTAACATTGTAGCTTGCATTTTCTACAGTCTGTGCCTTATGGTTTCATGTTAAAATTCTCCAGTGATCTACTTGCATGAGATACAGAAGACAGAAGCTGAGAAGGGGTTTATAGCCACCGTGTACTGCTGCTATGGATGCGTAGGAGCTTTAGGGACACCTCTTTCTACCTCATTTTCAGGGTGCTTTGCCCTGCTAGTGAACAGTACAGTCACACACCGTTTAACGTTTCGGTCGGCAGCAGTGGACATACACAACCGTGGTCCCATATGATCACAATGTACCTGGAATTCTGCCATGCCAAGAAGATGCATGTTACATGTTTGAGATGCTGCTGGTGGGAACAGACCTGTGCTGCCTCTCGTATAAAACAGAGCACAGACAATTAGGTACAGTACTTGATAGTAATGTTACCATTTTCTGTACTTCCCTAGTATCATTAGTTTAGAATACGATCCCATTGGTGTATAAAAAAATTGGACAGCCTCAGGCAGGTCTCTCCCGAGACATCCCAGAAGAAAGCATTGTTCTTCAGAGATGGTGGTCCATCTGCATGATTACCCTGGATAGCATTCCTTGGGACAAGATGTGGCTGATGCAAGACAATGATGGAGCTGGAGGTTTAGCTCAGTGGCACAAGCGCCCGCCAAGCAAGTGCAAGGTCATGGGTTTGATCCCTGGGACTAAAAAAGAAAGACAATATATATATATATATATATATATTTTTTTTTTTTTTTTTTTTAATTTTTAAATTTTTATCGGTACCAGGGATCGAACTCACAACTGCTTGCTTGCAAGGCAGGCACTTATGCCACTGAGCTAAATCCCCAACCCAAGAAAGATGATGTTGATGAGCCTGATCCTATGTTGGCCTAGGCTTATGCGTTTATTTCCTGGTTTTTTAACAAAAAGATTTAAAAAACTTAAAAGTGAAAAATAATGAAAACAGAAAATAGCTTCTAGAAGAAGGACATAAAGTCATTGTTTTTGTACAACTGTACAATATGTTTGTATTTTTTAACGGCAGATGAGTTATACGAAGACCTCATGTAGACACATGTCACAAAACTGTGAAAACCTCATCATTGTGTTCATAACACGCAAACAAGTAAACTTTGTGTTCCTACCCAAGAGTCAAAAAGTTTAAAGAAAACCATTAGCGCTTGACCATGTAGCTCTGGTGGAAGGCTTGCCTGACATGCCTGCGGCCCTGGGTCATCCCTAGTCCTGGAGGAATTAAGTTTGTGAAATAAAGATGGCATAGTAAGCTAAGATTAACTTACTGAAGAAAGGAAACTTTATTATTATAAGTTTGGCATGGCCTGTGTGCACAGTGTTGAAAGTCTATTGTAGTATAAAGAAATGTCCTAGGTCTACACGTTCAGTTGACATAGTGATTCCGAGTGACTTCAGTCCTGCAGCTTTGTTCATGGCTAGTGCCCTGTACAGGTGCAACATTTTTATCTTTTATACCATTTTCTTATTGTACTTTCCCTATGTTTAGATGTGTTTAATACACACAGCACTGTATTCTAATTGCTTACAGTATTCTGTTCAGTAACATGATGTGCGGGTTTGTTCCTTAGGAGCACTAGACCGTACTGCATAGCTGAGGCACAGAGGTAGAGTGGGCTGTCCCATTTCTGTTTGTGTAAGAGCCTTCTGTGAGGTCTGGAACAAAGGCAAAACTGTCCAACAGTGCATTTTGCAAAACGTACCTCTACTTCAACGGCACGTGGCTGCATTGTCAAATTTACAACTAACTGCCGTGTGTCCAGAGGGGTAACGCTACATCAATGACTCCCCAGATTCTGTTTGGGCATCTTTTGTGGTTTGATTTTCCTACAGACATTAAGGTGCCCACCAGACAGTGAATTTAAACATTCAAGGATGAGACTATTCCTTGGTGTACTGATCCATCTGGTCTCGAGACTGGATTAATCTAAGGTGGTCATTTATGTTGTAGACACTTTGTTAATGCTGTCAGGGATTCTGGGTTTCGGAGTCCTCCATGACAGACACAGTGGTGCAGTCAGAAAGGACTCTGTGGGAGTTGGTTCCTCTACTGAATGGTTCAGTGCATGGGCTGACCCGGTTCACAGTGTAAGGATGAGCACCTGCCTTGTACCCAGCGAGCTGTCCATGTTTCCTGTCACTGTTGAATGTCCTCTCTCAGTCCACTTGCATGTTAATTCGTTGTGTGTAATTTTAAACAGTGTGTGTGTCTTCATCAACAACAGCTTCAGTAGAAGTTTCCTAGAAGGGGCTGGGGATTTAGCTCAGCGGCATAAGCACCTGCCTTGCAAGCAGGTGGTCATGAGTTTGATCCCTGGGACCGATAAAAAAGGAAAAAGACAAAACGCTATTATAGGTTCTCAGATTGTTTATAATTTTGTCAAGCATTATATATTCTGAGTTAACGTTATTACTGGGTACATATAAGATTGGCCATTGTTTTCCTTGGGGAAATTTTTTTCTTAGTATAAATTGTTTTCTCATAAAGCAGTTTCTCATTCTTTTTTTTTTTTTTTGGTACTGGGTTTTACTTTTTTTTTTTGGAGCTGGGCATTGAACTCATGACCTCGTGCTTGCCAGGCAGGCACTTATGCCGCTGAGCTAAATCCCTGGCTCTGTCTCATTCTTTCACAATATCTAAAATAATCATGGAATGACCACTGACCATCAGTAACTGGGGAGCATCAAAAATAGGGCATGAAAAGGACTTTTGGATTTGAGCTTTTGATGATTTCATTGCTATTCATTGAAGTGAGATGTTTATTAAATGGTTTGAAGTAAACGTAATTGTATCACTGGTAATTAAATAGTTCTCATCTAGAAAGAAATCTTAGCTAGAGGCAAATCTAATGTTTAAGAAACTAGCCAATCATATTCATGAGTTGAGGACCATTTTGGTCATTTTTATGGCTTGGAGACAGCCCACTCCTTTTCACTCTGTCTTAAGGGAGGAGGTCTTTCTATGTTTTTCAGGCTGGTCTTAAACTCTGCTCAGAATAAATTTAAACAAATGTCCACATAAATTGCAACACTATAATGTCCAAAAGCAGGAAATAAAAAGCATATGTTCATTAATGGTTGATAGATTATGTGGTATCCATACAATGGAATATTACTTGGCATGGAAATAAATGAGGTAGTGACAGCTGTTACAATACGGACGTCCCTTGAAAAACTTGTAAAATGAATAAAGCAATCTATAAACACCACAGATTATCTAATCCCCTTCGTATAAAGGTTCAGAGTCACATTATCCAGATTGAAAATAGGTTAGTGGTTATTGGAGGTTTACAGGAAGGAAATAGGATAGAGCAGTGACAGCTGGTGAGTGCAGGGTTTGCTTAGGGTGATGAAAATGTTTTAAAATTGGTGATTTCAAGTGTAAGTGAATATGCTGAAAACCGCTGAATTATGCACTGAACCAGTGAAAACTACTGAGTTGTAAAATACGTATATTACGTCTCAGCAAGCAGGTTCCAATAAAAAAAATGTGTCAGCAGTTTTGATCCAGTTTCTTAACATACTGAATTTCAATGTTCACCCCAAATTTACATAGCCATCGTCTCTTTTTGTATCAGTGAAATAGGAATTCATTTTGTCTTAGAGGCATCACAGCCATTTACATTGTGAGGTCCGTTATGGTAGGTCCACCTTCAAAATTACCAAAAGTTATCAACTAGTAATTTGCCTCCAGGGCTACTGTACAATGCTTGCCTAGTATGTGCAAGGCCATGGTTTCCATCTATAAAGAAAAAAAATTCCTCCATTGTAAATAGCATGCGTCATAATTTTATAAAGCATACAACTCGTTGGTCGAATGAGATTCAATACGCCCATGCTGGGCGCTCCCTCTCTTGTGAAAGTGACATTTACAATTCTCTGCGCACAGCTGCCGGGTTCACTCCCTCCCCCTTCTTTCCGAAGGAGCCACGAGAATTCTCCAGGGTCTTCGCTGTCATTCATTCTGAGAGGGGCGGGCCAGTGTGGGAACTGTCCAATCAGGCGCGCCGCTGAACCGAAAGGCGAAGGGGCCGCTGGGTAAGCGGATGTGACGCACGCGACGCCTTCCGGTAGCACGTTGGAGAACGTGTTACTAAAACAGTCTGAGGTGGACCCGCAGCGGCGTCTGTCTTGCTCTGAGCTGCGTAGCAGTCGAAGGGAGGACACCCAGAGCCCTCGGAAGCTGAAAAATGGTGATTTCGGGGTCAGGAGTCTCGAGACGAAAGGTACAGGATCTGATTGGAACCGCATGTGACGGGGCTTGGCGCCCCGGCGTCTGTGCTGGGGTCCGGCGTCCCCTCTGGCACCCGGGGCCCCGGGGGTTCTGTCCGGCCCTGCCCGGCGACTCGGTCCGTGAAGGCGGCGGCGGGAGGTCACGGGGACCCCAACTCGGGGACAGGGTTCGTACCCTGAAGAGTTGTGGTCTGAGGCCCTTACTCTTAGGAACCTGTTTTTTTGCCTTTTGAACCGTCACAGAAAACAGCCCAAATTTACGAACCATTTTTCCCCCCCAGCCCTCTTACTAGGCTGATGTGAAATCTCTAAATTTCGGGATCCCTTTCCATATTCCCAAGCCCCAAATTCTCCAATTTATGTCATTATCAATTTTACTGCCGTCACGCTATCGGTCAGACGCAGGCAGTGTACATTTTTTTTTTTTTTTTTTTTTTTTTTTTTGGTCTTTTTGAGACCGGGTCTCGCTATGCAGCTCAGGCTGGCCTTGAGCTCACTTTCTAGCCCAGGCCTGTCTCGAACTCGCAATGATCCTCCTGCCTTGGCCTCCCCGAGTGCTGGAATGACAGGCATGCGCCACCATGCCCGGCTAGTGTACTTTTTAAAATTTTTATTTTTGCAAATCTAGATGGGGCGCAGTCTTGTTAGGCGAGCGCTGTACTTTGTCATTTTATTTCCCCCGGAAAGAAAAATGGTTGGCTTTTGAAAAACCCAGGCATGGTAGTGTAGGTTTGTCATCCCAGCACCTGAAGCTGAGGCCAGGGATCTGAGCTGGAGACGAGCCTTTAGCTACATAGTGAGTTGCAGGAGGGCTTGGGTTGCAAAAATCTGTCTCAAGGAAGCAAAAACCCAACCAAATGAAATATATGTAGTGTTTTGTCCCCCCCCCCCCTTCCTCCCAGTGCAGAGGATCAAACCTAGGACCTCTCGAATGCTGGACAAGCATTTCATCTGTATCACACACCAGACTTATTTGTATACTTTTTGTGAGAGTAAAGCAGAGAACAATTCCCCGATTTTTTTTTTTTTTTTTTTTTTTTTTTGTCTTTTTCGTTTTTATCGGTACCAGGGATCGAACTCAAAACTATTTGCAAAGCAGGCGCTTGTGCCACTGAGCTAAATCCCCAGCCTCTTTTCTTGTCTTTTTGAGACAGGGTCTCGATATGCAGTTCGGGCTGGCCTTGAGCTCACTTTCTAGCCCAGGCCTGTCTCGAACTCGCAATGATCCTCCTGCCTCAGCCTTCCGGAGTGCTGGAATTACAGGCATGCCCCAGCCCGCCCAGCTTTGAGACTTTTTGTTTTGCATTCCATTTGATTTTTTTTTTTCTTTTTTTTGTCTTTTTGATTTTTATCGGTACCAGGGATCGAACCCACGACCACCTGCTTGCAAGGCAGGTGCTTATGCCGCTGAGCTGAATCCCCAGCCCCCCATTTGATTTTTTTTTAAAAACTATTTTTTTTTTTTTTTGCAGTACAGGATAGTCAGCCTAGGGGCTTTGCATTGAGCAACATCCTTCAGCCCTTATTATTTTTTGTTTTGAGAGTGGATCTTACTAAATCACTGACTTGCCCAGGCTGGGCTGGAACTTGTGATCGATTCTCTTGCCTCAGCCTTTCAGTGTTGGGGTTATAGATGTGTGCTAACACACCCCGTGAAAATTTTTTTCCTTCCTCAGAGCGTATGTGGTAAATTTCTCAGGTCTGTTTTCATTTGCTTGAAGTTTTTATTATATTTATATTTATTTAGTTTTTTTTTTTGTACTGGGAATCAAACTCATGACCTCGCGCTTGCTAGGCAGTTGCTTGTGCCACTGAGCTAAGTACCCAGCCCCTATTTATTTATTTAGCTAGGGTCTCACTATACAGTTAAGGCTGGCCTTGAGCTCACTAGGTAGGCCACGCAGGCCTTGACTTTTGACTGCTTCAGCCTCCCCAGTGCTGGGTTTGCAGGCCTGCATCACCACCCCTGGCTCATTTGCATGATTTTAAATGCAGGCTTAGCTTGGAGGATGCTACAGGGGAAAGAACTGAGGAGTATCTCTTTTGCATAATAACTGTAGAAAAATAAATACACTTCCCTAAAAGTGCAGTAAAATAGATAAGTGAATTATGAAGACTTACCAATCAATGGTTTTTTTCCTTTGCTTGGTGGAGAATTTTCGACAATAAATAATTCTGTTTGCCTTTATATGGATTTAGGGATTCGTAATGAATTATGGGGCAGAGGTTGGCAGCACCTAAAAATGCTCAAACATGACTTACTGTTTACTAAGTGGTGTATCATGAGTAATGAAATGACATCTTTATTATCTGAGTGACATAGATGCTCATGCTTTTGGGGTTTGCTATTAAGTATAAATGCTTTCATTGTGTATACAGAAATACTGAGTTTGGGTGGTTTTGCTGGATTCTTCAAATACTGAATATTTTCTGTTTCACAAGTAACAAACTGGAACATGATGGGACATGTCTGTCATCCCAGCACTCTGGGACGCTGAGGCAGGAGGATTGTTAAGTTTGAACCTAACCTGGGCAACTTAGTGAGACACTGTCTCAGAAAATAAAAAGGGCTGGGGATATAGTTCTGTGTGAAGGTCCTGGGTTCAGTCTTCTCCTACTGTAAGATAAAAAACAAGACCCCCAGTTTTAGCAGATAGAGTTTTGGTCACAATTTTGTCCTGGCCTGTGGCCTGTTTTCATTCTCTTAACAGTGTCTTTGGCAGAATTTACTTAAGTTGAATTTATTAGTTTCCTGGATTATGTATGGATCATACTTTTGGTGTTACATCTCAAACTTTGTAGCCAACTCAAAGAGCATCTAAATTTCTCCTGTATTTTTGTTGACTTGGTACCAGATACGAACTCAGGACCACATGTTTGCCAGGGAAGCACTGTGCCGCTGACCTAAGTTCTCAGTCCTGTATTATGTTCCATAAATTCTGAATTTTGTATCTTATATTTAGGTTTGTGATCTGTTCGGAGTTAGTTTTGTGAATGTTGTAAGATCTGTGTCTAGTCATTTCTGTGTGGGTATCGGGGCTTTTTAGCATGGTTTGTTGAAATGACTGCTTTTTCCATTGAATTGCTTTTGCTCATTCATCAAAGATCCTTTGGCCATATTTGTGTGATTTTTATCTGTGTTTTCTTTCTCTTTCTTGATCTGTTGCCTGTTTGTAAATACCACACTGTCTCCATTACTGTGGCTGGCATGGTCTCAGTCAGGTTGTGTTAGTGTTGTACCCTGACGTCAAGGATATTGTCTTGGTGGTTTCAGATGTTTTGCCTTTCTGTGTGAGTTTTGATTCTAAACTTTGCAACTTGTACTTTTTTTTTCTCCCCTTTTTGGGCAGTCGTGGGGATGGAACCCAGGCCTAATGCTAAGATGAGGTCATGAGAGCAGCTCCCCCATGAATGATGGTGCTGTTAGCACTGTGGCTGTGAGATCTGTTCAGAGGCAGAAGCTCCTTCCACCCAGCCCTTGATCCCATTTTTGGGGGGTGCGTGTTAGTAGTCTGTGCTTGCACACATTGTGTGGAGTTGGTGCGCGTGAGGACCCGGCAGGCAGGTGCCACCTGCAGTGGTGCCTTAATTTTGGGCTTCTTAGTCCCGCGAGCCTGAGCAGTACGTTACATCCCCGTTGTCGGTCAGGTGCTCGGTGTGACGCGTTTTGATAGACTACCCCTACTAAGACAGTAGGGTTTTTTGTTGCTCTATATAAGGGATGTTTGACTTTAAAAAAATTTTACATTGTTTAAAACTGAAAAATTTCATAAGTACTTGTGTGTAGTACATAATATTTACATTCCTTGTGGGGAGTCTGTACATGTGCATAACATAGCTTAGTTCTTTTTCTTACTCCCTTTCCTTCCCTGCCCGCCCCCCAACCCTTAAGCTGCTTTCTTTCTTTTTGTCTTTTTTTTTTTTTTTTTTTTTTTTTTTTTTTTTTTGTGGTTCTGGGAATTGAACTCATGACCTCACATTTGTCAGGCTGGCATTTATGCCACTAAGCTAAATCCCTGGTCCTGCCTTTCTTTTTTTTTTCATAAATATTTGCAGTGCATAACTTTAGTCTTCCTGGTGTGGAGTTGGTACCTCTACATAACAGGTCCCAGTCCCCTACTTTTGTCCTTATCGCTTCCCTATGTCCCTGGTGCTGGTTAGTTCCCAACCCAGTTGTCCATGGCTTTTGTTCTTGGAGTCTTTTTTTTTTTGGCAGTACCAGGGATCGAACTCAGAGCCGCACGCTTGCAAGGAAGGTGCTTATGCCGCTGAGCTAAATCCCCAGCATGGCTTTTGTTCTTAATCTGCTGTTCCATAGCCTCACTACAGTCTCTGTAGTAGGTCTGGTAATTTTTATATTGGCTCTTTGGGATTTCCTTCGTAGACAGTTGTGTTACTTGTCAAGAAACGGCTTTTCCTTTTTTCTTTCGCAGTGCTGGGGATGGACTCTGGAGTGGTTGCTAACTGGTGGTCGAGGTAAACAGCTGAGCTGAGTCAGGGTGGTGCTGAGTGTGGAGGGCCCCCCTGAGGAAAGTTGCCAGCATAAAAGGAGGCCTGGAGAGGAAGAGCAGCATAGTGGGGTCTCCTACGATGTGATGGTGTTTGGAGCTGTTGGTTCTGGAGGAGCTTGTCATGCTGGCTCGCCCCCCTGATACGAACTCTGCTGTTAGCATCAGAGGAGCTCGGGACCACATTTACGGTTCACTTTGGGGAGCTCTGGTCCTTCCTTTGAGCATCACTTCCTGGCTCTGGAGGGGAAGATGTGTGCTGTTTAATCTCCAGGCGAAGCTTGTCACACTGGCTTCCTGATGGATACTTGGCTGTTCCATCATGGGAGGAGCTTGGGATCTCATCGGTTTGGAGAATGACAGTGGTACTTTTCAGGGGAGCCCTGGTCCTTATTTTGAGCATCACTTCCTGGCTCCAGGGCAGATCCCTCAGCCTGCTGGCACGGATCCTTCACCCCGTTGGCACAGACTTTCTAGCTTGCACTGCTGCCCGCTGGGCCTTCCTAGCGCAGACCCGTGGAATAGACTTGCATGGGTCACTGTCGTGGGCTCTGGGTTTTCAGTTGCACCCGTGCTGGTGATTGCCATGGCATGAGGTGCTCGGCTGGTTTTCTAGGTCTTTAGTGTTGTGGACAGATTTCCTGTATTTTTCTTATGTCTGACTCCTTGGGTGACCATTATGAATAGCACTATAAATTCCGTGTCCTGTATGTAATTGTTCTTGCAACCCTGACTACGACAGAAACCATGACATTGTACAAGAAAGACAGTTCTTTTGCCTTTTTCTTTTCTTTTCTTTCTTTCTTTTTTAAAAATTGCTTTCTGGAATCCACCTAAGCAGATTCATAGTGAGAAAAGAAACAGGGGTGTGAGGGGAGGGGAGAGAGGTCCATTTTTTGGGAAGGAGAATTTTATTGTCATTTGCCATTTATTTCTTCTCATGCGTACTTTTTGTATCTGTTCATATGATTTTAGGTTTTTTTTTTATTTTATTCTTTTGAGACAAGATCTGTCTTTTGTTCGGGCCGGTCTTGAGTTCACTGTGTAGCCCAGGTTGTCCTCTAACTGCTGGTGACCCTCCTGTTTCAATCTCCCGAGTGCTGGGGTTACGGGCCTGTGCCCCCACCCAGCCAGGCTTTGTGTTCTGAGAGAAGGCGTGCCCCTCCCACCTCAGCGTTGGGGGGGGGGGCTGGGGTTGCAGGCCGCGTCACCCTGACCCGCCCAGTGTCAGGGGACTTCTGCCCCGAGTTTTCTTCTCAGTTGTTCAGTTTTAGCTCTTTCCTTTGGGGCTTTATCCATTTTGATACTACCCTTGTGGATAGTAAAACTTTTATCTATTTTTTTGTGGTACTGGAGATTAATCTCGGGGCCTTTTCCCTGAGCTGCAGCCCCCCCTTTTTATTTTTGAGAAATAGTCTCACTGAGTCATTAAGTATCCAGACTGGGCTTGAATCTGAGACTGCCGGCCCCAGGCTCCCTTTAGTGCAGGGATTGCAGGCATGTGCCATCACATGTCGTTCAGTATTACTTTCAAGTGATGTAATGCCTCAGTTTTTTTTTTTTGAATTTTAGCTAATTTTTGTTTTTTGTCTTGGAGACAGGGTTTCACTGTGCAGCTCAGGCTGGCCTTGAACTCACAGTGACCCTCCTGCCTGGGCCCACTGAGTGCTGGGCTTACAGGCGTGTACCACCATGCCCAGCTCCTCAGGTTTTGGGAACACTGTCCTCCATTCCTCTTGAAGGATGTTGGCACATACGTTAAAATCTGGTTTACCTTACTTGTGAGGTGGTGTTCTAGGCTGTGTATCATATTTCACTTGTCCATCTCTCTGTGTCCTTATACTAGTACATAGTGTACTGGTTCATTGTGTTTGCTTTTTATTTCTATGTTTTTTGGCAGTACTGGAGGGTGAGCTCAGGGAGCACTGAGCTGTATCCCCCGCATTATTATTATTATTATTATTATTATTAGTATTATTTGCAGTCCTGGGGATTGCACCTAGAGGTACTTTACCACTAAGCTTTATCCATTTTATTTTTATTTATTTTGAAACAGGGTCTTACTAAGTTATCAGCTGGCCTGGGACTGGTGGCCCTCCTACCTTAACTTCTCAACTAGCTGGGATTGTAGGTCTGCGTCACTGTGTGTGGCCAGTATAGTTTTGACTATTGCATCTTTGAACAAATGTTTCAGGGTACCTGCCTCAGTATTCCTAAGGCACATTTGTCTGTCTTTCTTTTTTTGAGATGGGATTTCACTCTGCAGTTGAGGCTGGCCTTGAACTCAGTTTATAGTGCAGGCTAGACTCAAACTCACGGCGATTCTCCTGCCTCGGCCTCCTGTGTGCTGGGATTACAGGTGTGCACCACTGAACTTGTCTGCAGGCCTTAGAGTGTTCTGTGTCAGGCTGATTTTGACCTGAGAAGGAATTTAGGAACTGGAGCTGTAACGCAGTGGTGCAGCCCTTGCCTAGCACGCAGGGATGTTCCACCCCCAGCACTGGGAGGCGGAGATAAACACGGAAGTGTTCCCTACTTGTCAGGGTTTTGAAAGAGGTTGTTGAAGATTGGTGTTCATTTTTTAAATGTGATACAAAAAATTTGGCTGTGCAACTACTTGGTTTTAGAAGTTTTTGTTTCTTGTTGCTGGGGTGGTGTTTTAGTTTGTTTATATTGCTGTAACAAAATAGCTAAGAGTAGGTAATTTATGACTGACAGAAATTTGTTTCTCAGCGTTCTGGAGCCTGGGAAATCGTTGGCCAGAAGCTCGTAGGTCAGGTATCTGGTGAAAGCTGGTTACTGGATCTTACATGGTGAGGAGCAAAGGGCCTTCATGGTTTTCTGCGGCTGTTCCATCAGAGGGTGATCAGCGCAGATTGCTCGTGACGGAGCTGTTTCCTAATACCCCACGGCTTTGCATATTACTGCTTTGGGGATGACACTTTTTATTACTATTGGGTGGGGCAAACATTCTCATCACAGCAGCACGTTTATGATTTCTACTGCAGGACCCATGTTAGTTACAGAGTGGCTCAGATTGTTTTTCGTTCCTAGAAATGTGTCTGCTTCATCAGTGCAATCCAGTTTTTGTGGTTCCACTAGAAACTTTGCCAACTGCATTCTTTTAGGGGTGCTCTCCAGTTCCACAGGAGCCCTGGCGATGTGCTGAGTGGAGAGGGGGGCGAAGCATTCCTTGACCTGGGACCTCAGGTTTAGGAACCTGGTGTGCGTGGTTGTGACTGTCGTAAGGGCTTCTTAGTCCTCCTCCCTCCTGCAGGAAGGCCAGCGGGCATTAGACTGCATGGTTTCTCTTTCCCCACAAAGGTTTGTCCTAGGCAAGCCTGGTTTTAGACAGCCCTCAATATCTGGGGAAAAGATCTGTGTTGTACTTGGTGTGTACAGACTTCTTTTTGATTGTTATTCCCTAAGTGCAATACAGCAGAGCAGTGATTTACTTGGTCTTTATGTTGTGCTGGGTCTTGTAAGCAATCTAAAAATGGTTTACCAATGTCCAACCTTTTGGCTTGCCTGGGCCACACTTCGTTAAGAGGAATGACCTTTAGTACAGCTAATGGATATAAGTACAAGACTGTCTTTATTTAAAAAAATTTTATGGTAACATGGGAAAAAAAAGAGGGCAGTCCACCTGCAGATGTGGCTTGGGTGCTCCTGAAAGTCTCCAGAGGATTTACAGAGTTACCTGTGAATGTCCTGCCCTTTTACAGAAGGGGCTTAGGCTCCTCACATTTTAGTGTCTGTGCAGTCCTGGAACCAGTTCCCCACAGGACATTTTTTTCTTTTGTCTGTTTTTCTGGCCCCCTCTCTCACTGAGCTCCATCCCCAGCACTGTAGTTTCTCTTAAGGTAGGACTTGAATCCAGGTCTCTGGGCATATTTCAGAATGACTGAATTTCCCTTCTGCTGCTGGAGGCTGGCAGGACTTTGATTTCCACTGGGAGCAGCTGCCAGGGTCTCTGGAGGTCACTGTCACCTCTAGTCTTGTCCTGTCAGCTCTTAGCAGTTTCCTGGTCACAGCTTAGGGTTTTCTGTCCTTGGCTGCTTTCACGGGTTTCTGTCCCAGTTGACCCTTGCCGGATGTTTGTCTCTGGGTGTCCTTTTGGGGGATTGCCGCTGCCCTCTGAACTCATCTCTAACAGATGTGGGAAAAGCTGTTGAGTTGTGGCTCATCTGTTGTTTGTCTTCTCTGCCTGGTGTTGCCTCCTCCCTCTTCCTGTGCCACAGTGGAAACTGGGAGTCTCTGACTTCAGGTTTTGACGTTTGTTGACGTTTAGAAAAAAATGTCTTTGTTTGCAGCACCCTCAGCCCTGCTGAGCTTTTTTTTTTGAGACAGACAGGATCTTACCATGTGGTTCAGGCTGTCGTTAAGCTCACTATGGAGGTCATATTGGCCTTGAAGTGTCGATACTCCTCCTGCCTCAGCCTCCGAGTCCTGGGGTTATTGGCCTGTGCCGCCGCACTGGCGTTTGCTGACAGCTGTTACGTGGTAGCCCTCCTCTCTCTTGATGAGGTACTAGGAAAGCATGTCTGCTCCCTCCACTTTCAGCAGCACGCCATCAACCCTTGTAAGCTTGCCCTAGGCAGGTGTGAGAGCTGAATCCCATACTAGCTCACCACTGAACCTCGGTGAAGATCCCAGGTCAGGCCACTGTGGCTTCCCACAGTCACACCTACCCCGGAGGCTGAGGCAGGAGAGTGGGGTTCCAGGCCAGCTTGGGCAGCTGACTGTCTCAGAATAAAACATGAAAAAGACTGAGAATATGGCTTATAGTGGAGCGGCCCTGGGTTCCATTTCTAGTTCCACAGTCCGTAAAGCCTCAGGCCAGCTGCCCTCCCTACTGGCCCTGGGTGTTTCAGAGCTGCTGGAGCCTCACTAGCCTGCTGTGCTGCCTGACAGCTCTTTACTGGGGAGTTCCTGGTAGGTCAGGTGCTCCGGATCTGTGAATCATAACTGAGATTGCCACAAGGAAAGTAGACAAATTAGGTCCTTTTCCATTTTCCAAATGTAATTAATTTCTGTGTGTGTATATGTGTGTGTGTGTGTGTGTGTGTGTGTGCGCGTGCATGGGCATACTGACAGATCAAACCCAGGGCCTCGTGCAGGCTCAGTACATGCTCTGTTGTACGGTGGAGCCTCTAACCGCTGCTCCCTTTCCCCTGGGCGTGCTTTGTTGCTTGTGCTGGCCTGAAAAGCCCTGAGTTACCCCTGCTGCCACCCCCTGAGTGGTTGTGCCACTACTACACTTGACACTATTCCTTCATTTTTTTGTGGCGCTAGGACGAGATAAGTGTGTGTGATGGTCAAGTCATGAAGTAACTGTTTAACGAGCAGAATCACAGGAAGTTATGAATTGAGTGTGCTGGTCCCCAGGCTGGCAGGCTCACCGTTCTCATCACACATATGCGATGTTTTAGGACTTGGTGACCTTTGAGGATGTGGCTGTGAACTTCACCCAGGAGGAGTGGGCTCTGCTGGACCCTTCCCAGAAGGAGCTCTACAGAGAGGTGATGCGAGAGACTGTCAGGAACCTGGCCTCTGTGGGTAAGGCCGACATCGTTCCTTCGCTGAGTCATTTAAAAAGGGGTGTTGCTTGCTCTGCTGCTGTGCAGTCATTTAGGGTGTGAGAGGGGGATGCTTTGGGAAAACATCTGCAGGGCCTCAGTACATCGTGAAGCTAGAATCTGTACGTGTTTAAGTGTTATAACCATTCATAATGCTGTTTCTGGGTGTATATTTTAGGAATCTTGGAAGACCGGAACATTGAAGAACTATACCAAAGTCCTGGCAAAAACCTAAGGTACTTTACATTCATAAGGGAAAGCAGTGTTCTTAGAATTAAAAACATAGTAACAGAATCAGTAAACTCAACTTCACATTTCTTTATCCCTCAAAATTTTTGTTTAGAATTATATACTTCAATGTTATATAGGTAATAGTTCACTTACAAACAATATTAAGATTTCCACATATGTTTTAATAAGTGCTGTGATCTAGGCCTCTTGCAGAGGACTTAGGGTATGCTTGAGCAATTCTGAGGGACATACAGCCCTTGCTTTCTTTGGTAATGTTAAAAAATTAAGTGTAGTTCTTGTTAATAAATATAAATTATTGTGGCAACTGGAAGGTTGTGAGTTCAATCCCTGCTACCAAAAAAAAAAAAGAGAGAAAAAAAAAATGTCACAGACACTGGATGTGGTGGTACTTACTTGTGATATCAGCACTCTGAGAGCTGCGGCTAGAGACTTGCATGTTCAGTCCTAGCCTGGGCTACTTACAACATGGCAAGACCTGGTCTCTAAAAAAGAGGGCGTAGCTCAATGTCAAAACTCTTGAGTTCCATCCCTAGTACTACAAAAAAGAAAAAGGAAAGAAAAAAAACAGTCATGGCCAGGTGTGGCGTGTAGCTTTGAATGCCAGCTGCTTGGGAGTGAGGCAGGAGGACTGAGTTAGAGGTCAGCCTGGCCAACATGGGAAGACTGTGCCTGCAGATAAAACAGTACTAAAGCCTGCATTTATAGTGGGTCTCTTTTCTTATAGAAGTCACGTGGTAGAGAGACTCTGGGAAAGGGCAGGAGGGGGTAGAGAAACTTTCAGCCAGATTCCAGATCTCAGGTTTAGCAAGAAAATGCCTGCTGTCAGATCCTGACTGCAGTGTGTGGGGAGAGGTCTTCACCGGTCATTCTTCTCTTAATAGGCATCTGAGCACTTACGCTGAGCACAAACCAGGTGAGCATAAGGATGGAAAGAAGACGAGCCGGGAGAAGCACTGGGGAAAAGCCCTTGGTTTCCGCTCTTCCTTTAACAGTTCTGGAAGAACTTGCACAGGAGAGAAGTCCTATCAATGTAAGGAATGTAGAAAAGTCTATAATTCCCTGTCAAACTTTGAAAGACACATGGAAAGGCACAGTGAGGATGGACCTTACAAATGTAAGCTATGCGGCAAAGCCTTTTATTCTCTCAGTTCTCTTCAAATGCACGAAAGAACGCACGCTGGAGAGAAGCTCTATCACTGTAAACAGTGTGGGAAGAGTCTGCGCACTTCCAAAGCCTTTCAGATTCATACAAGGACTCACACCGGGGAGAAACCTCACGAGTGTGGGGAATGTGGGAAAGCTTTCAACTGTCCCAGCACTTTCCAGAGGCACAGAAGGACCCACACTGGGGAACGGCCCTATGAATGTCAGAAGTGTGGCAAGACCTTTGGTCGCTTCAGTTCCTTCCGAATACATGAAAGGATGCACACTAGGAAGAACACCTGCTGTGAATGTGATGAGTGTGGGAAGACTTTCATTTCTCTCTCGTCTTTTCAGAGGCACATGTTAACACACACTGGAGATGGGCCTCACAAATGTAAGGAATGTGGCAAAGCATTCATTAGTTCCAGTGCATTTCAAATACATGAACGACTGCACACTGGAGAGAAGCCTTTTGAGTGTAAACAGTGTGGGAAAACCCTAAGTAGTGCCAGTTCCTTTCAAATACACCAAAGGACTCACACTGGGGAGAAGCCGTATGAATGTAAGAAGTGTGGGAAAACCTTCAGTTGTCCCAGCTCTTTTCAAAGACATGAAAAGACTCACACTGGGGAGAAGCCTTACGAGTGTAAGCAGTGTGGTAAGTCTTTTAGCCGTTCCTGCTACCTTCAGATGCACGAAAGGTCTCACACTGGAGAGAAGCCCTATGTTGGAGAGAAGCCTTATCAGTGTAAACTCTGTGGTAAAGCATTTCGTAGTCCTAGCTGCTTTCAGGTTCATGAAAGAACTCATACTGGAGAGAAGCCCTACAAATGTAGCGAATGTGGGAAAGCCTTCGCTTGTCGAAGCTTACTTAGAAGACATGAGAGGATTCACACTGGAGAGAAGCCCTATGAGTGTGCACAGTGTGGGAAAGCCTTTGGACGCCACAGTTCACTTCAGATACATGAGAGAAACCACACTGGAGAGAAACCGTATGAATGTCAAGAATGTGGGAAAGTCTTCAGGAGTTCTAGTTCCTTTCAGATACACAAAAGAACACACACTGGGGAGAAACCCTACGTATGTCAAGAGTGCGGGAAAGCCTTCGGTTGTTCCAGTACTCTTCAGAAACATAGAAGGAGTCACACTGGAGAAAAACCCTACGCATGCACACAGTGTGGGAAAGCTTTCAGTCGGTCCAGTAACTTTCGAATGCACCAAAAATCTCATTCGGAAGGAAAAACTGCACAGATATAAGGGTGGGTAATCCTTAATTTGTTGTAGTGAAAAAGCATGGAAGAGCTCATGTTGGAGAGGCACCCCACACGAGGCATACCGGAAGGCTTTCTTTTACAGCTTTCTATTTGAGAGAGTGCATACTGGTGCACATCTTACAAGTACGGATGGTGACAATGGCGTTTGTGTCCTACTTGAGTTTGAAGCCATGAAAGAGCAATGGAGAGACTAAAAGAGGAATATGAGCAGCACGCAGAAGCCTCAGTTGGCTCACGTCCTTACAGGAACGGGTCAGAATGCTGCCTGTGGATCAGTGGTGCAGTGTTTGGTAGAGGATTGCACCGGTCCCAGGCCTCACCTTGATCCCAGCACCGCCACTGGGAAAGGAGGAGAGGAGGGAGGAGGGCAGGAGGGAGGGCACACTGGATTAGAAGGTGGAAAATGCGAAAAGTAAAGTGTTGCATTTTAACAGTAAAAACTTACAACAACTCCCAGTTTAGTCAAATACACAAATTGAAGTAATGTGAGAAAACCTAATTAAATCAATGCATGCATCCAGAAAAGCATACATCCTGAAGGAAATGCTGTGTTAGGCTTTGTGTTTAAATGACCCCCCAAAGCCTCAGGCAGTCATGGGGCGGGGTAAGCCTTTTTTTTTTTGGTACTGGAGATTGAACTCATGACCTTGCACTTGCCAGGCAGGCACTTACGCCACTGAGCTGAATCCCCGGCAGGGTGAGCCTTTTGAAGGAGGCTGAATCTAGTGTTTGTCACTGATCTATTGTCTAGTGCTGCGATTGCAGGTAGCAGCTTACAGTATAAGGGAGAAGGCGGCGTGCCTTCCCCTTTGCCCTCCGCACCTTGTTGCTTGTGGCTGCCATGGTGGCTGCCTCTTAGCCACGCCACCCTGCCTTGGAACCAGCTGATTATGGACTGGAACGTCCAAAAACTGTAAGCTAAATAAACCTTTCTTCCTTCATTTTGAGTGTCGAGTATTTTGTCTCAGCAACGAGAGAAAAGTAACCAAGACATAGTGTAAAAGATAAAAATTGATTTCCTTTTGAAAATGGTTCATTGTTAATGTGGATGTTGGACCTGTGGATATCACTTCTTTACAAAGAATCATTGAGGGGAAATAATTCTGTAAGTACTTTTAAAGCAGCTATGAGTTTGACAAGTAGTTTTTCAAGTCACTTAATAAATACTACTTTGTTTTGCATGATACTGGGGATTGACTCCAGGGAACGCTGAGCTGCGTCCCCAGCACTTTTAAGTTTCTCCGTCAGGATCTCACTGAGTTGCCTCGGTGGCATCTGACTTGTGCCTACCTTAGCCTTCCCAGTAGCTGTGGTTATAGATCCGTGCTTTGGTGCCTGGCTCATTTGGTCAACATTGTATTTGTTCATTTTTGAAGTGTATGGAATCTGTGCATGAATTGAATTGCATTTTTAATATGCAAAGGGGTTTAATTTTTCTGTAGTTCAATTCTGTGGGAAGTAGGTCATTGAAAACCTATCTTTGTTACTTGCTGCAACTTTCTTACTGGTCTCATGTGGCAGGTTCTGAATTATCCCTTGCCCATTCTATATATCTGACCATTTTCTAATAGAGTGTGATTTAGGAATTAAGATTCATTCCAACAAAAACTATTTCACTGTATAACACAGGCAATGAAGGGTTCTGGGCATTAACATACAGATGAAAGGAAATTTAAACAGCACAGACATCCATAAAGCAGGGCAGAGTAGAGTGCTGCAGAGTTCTGGCCATTTCACCTCAGCTTTCTGGTTTGGTAGAGGTTGGAAGCTGCAAACCGAAGTGGCCAATTCAGGGATCCTTGTGTATGACATATTGGCCAGCAACCTGTCCTTCGTTAAAAAAGCTGTGGTCCACACAGGCTTTTACCCCAGTTGCAGGATTAGGGCTGAACACAGCACCTCCACACAACTTGGCGTTGGGCTCTGCAAAAATTCCGAAGGGTAAAACCCAAATGCGCATGCTGAGGAATCCTGATATTAGGGCATAGCCTTCCCTGGTTCGCAGAAGGCTGGAGTAATCACACCCGGGGTTCCAGTAGCCCCCCTACTGCACTGAGTGGGAAAACACCATGGACGGGGGAGTGTGAAGTCAGATGTCCCCAGTGAATCTCAAGAGCAGGTGGCATGGGCTAAATGCAAGAGGTGTAGCCCTCAGTAACTGGAGGCGGGAGCGTGTGCTTCAGAACAGTGTGTCCGTGGGAGTGATCACAGAAGGCTTGGTCCTGCCAGTGCTGTGGTGCAGAGCTCGGTGGACTGCTCACTTCTCCGGACCTGAGGTTTCTCTGCTACAGTGTGACAATGACCATGTTCCGTGCCACGCACGCGCTTGCTCGACTCAACTGGGCTGAGGGTCAGTGCACTGTGTCCGCCCACAGACAGTACAGTGCATGCTGGGGAATTGACAGCGGTCCAGACCCAGCTGGTGCCGTCGCAGAAGGAAATTGGCCAAAGTGGAATTCTTGTTTGCACAGACCATGGGGCACCAAGCTCAGCCCAGCCCCTGCATGAAGGTAGATTGGATGTGTACCTGCCCTGCGAGGTCCAGGGGTGCTGAGCTGGGTCAGGCTAAGGCTGGGGCTGCCTTCACTGGATTCTCATGCCTGTGGGAATGAATGTATGCAAAAGCTTTCCCAGCAGCTACTTCCCGGGCACTGCCATCGTGTCGCCCAGCCAGAAGCAGCGTGGGACCCACAGGAAGTAAGACACAAGATGACATAAAGTGGAAAGACTTGTCCATTCTTTTGATTACATTTTGTTCTTCAAAATATTTTTTATTTGTTTGTGATGCATTTTTCTTTCATTCGTCTTTGGAACTTGGTATATAGATACTCTGCGTCTTGATCTTTCCTGCTTTGCCCTCTCCTGTACCAAGCCCCTTTCCCCTCCACAGACTGTTTCGTACCATTTCTCTTCTATTTTGCCTTTACATAATTTATATTTTAGTGTCAATACAAATATTCTAGCTACTAAATGTTATTTTTTATAAGTTTATCTGCTTCGAACCTTATGTTATCTAAGGCAGTCACGACAAAAATCTTCAGATCTAGACTAGAGGCTGCTGCCGTGGTTCTGAACTCAGTAACAAGACTAATGGTCCAGTGTTCACATAAAACAGATTTTAAAATTTATTTCTGGATTATGAATAAAATTTTAAAAATCAGATTTTTTTCCCACAAAGTAGAAACATAGTTTTCACTACGTCAGGAGTGCTTGAGTAAATACCTCCAGAGAAGTAGGGGTTAATATTAAAATTTGCCATTGTCCTTTGTATTTTTGGCTCCTGTTTAATATGCTTATAAAGCTCTCTCTGTCTGTCTGTCTGTGTGTGACTAGTTAACTTTTTGCTAGGAGATAGGCTGGTCGGAAGAGCTGGACCGGTAGCTGACCTAAAAAGGTTTACCGGTGGGTCCCCCATTTTCTCATGTGATGATATGAGCAGCTTTTATATTTTCGTTGCAACTTCTTGCCTTGGAGCCAGGCTGCTTCCAAAAAACCATACGCCAAGATGAACCTGTTTTCCCTTAACTTCCGGATGTGAATCACCATGTTGTAGTGGTGGACATGGAAGGCAGTGTGGCGATTCCTCAAGAAAGTGAAAATAAGAATTCCATTTGACCCAGACACCCTTTCATGGGCATCTTCCCCAAAGCGTCGTCATATTAGTGATACATACAACAGTGTAGTGCACAACAGCTACGTCATGGAAACAGCCGAGATGCTTAGCATAGATGAGTGAATTAAGTGTCTATATACGCACCATGGGGCATCATGCAGATAGAAGCTGGATTTGAGTAATTTGTCAGAAAATGTGTAGATCTTGAGACCTTAATATTGTCAGACACAGATTAACTATCACATGGTTGCTCTGTATTAAGAAACCCAAAACAGTTTAAAAAGCAAAATACAGAAGTGATAGGAAACAGGAAGGTGGACTTTTGAAGAGAGAAGGGGTGCTAAAGAACAGGAGGGACAGTAGTGGAGGGAAAGGATAAATCGTCACTATATCTGTATCTGTATCTGTATGTCTTGATAATAAAATATTATTCAGCCTAAAAGGAATGAGATGTCATTTGCAGGAAAAGGAATAGAACCAGTCATTTAAACAAAAATGATGGGAGTTACCACATATTTGCTCTCGTAGGTTGGTTCTAAAAAGAATAAAAATGGAAAAAAGTGGAAGAAAGACTGTCAGATAGGGAGAGGGTACCAGGAGCTTGGTGGGGTGGGGTGCTGAAAGGGACCATTGTGTGTAGGTGTCCTATAGCTGGGACAAAATGCCAATGCCCACAGCGTAAAGAGAGGCTTATTTTGGCTCAGAGTTTCAGCCCAGTGGTGGGGCATGACAGAGGAAAGGTATTCAACCCGTGCTAACCGAGAAGGAGCAAGAGAGCCCCCCGCCACCTGCACTAGAAAGCTTGCTTCCTGCAGGTGGTCTGCGTGGGCTGGAGATGGAGCCAGACATGCCCTGTGCACCTGCAGGCTGCCACTGGGGACGCTTCCTTCAGGCAACAGCACAGGCAGGGCGGTGCAGCAGGTCCACCCTGCATGCCCACTCCCACCGTTGGAGGGCGAGCTTCTTGCAGGCAGCCCGTGCCCACCAGGAGAATCAGACAAACACCCGTGTGCCTGCCACCACCGAGGGGTCCCAGTGTAGACGCACAGGCTGAGAGAAGCAGCCCCGCCACTGTGCACCCGTGGCCATCAGGGAAGCCTTTGTAGCTGGCTGCAGAGAAACCCAGGCGCCTGTCCCACTCCCCTACACCACAGAGGGGCAGCCGGTGTGGGAAGTGCCTAGGACCCCACAGCCAGCTTGGGGGAACCCAGGAGGTGTCAAGGTGAAGGAGCAAAAGGAAATTTACCTCTAGCCCACACAGCAAGTCTGGAGATACAACAATGGAAAGAAACGGAAGTCACACTCCTGAAATCTCCAAGATGATAGCAGTTGAGGTAAAGAAGCAGCTTCGTCTGGGAAAGGGGAGAGGAGGAAAGGCGAAGGTACGCATGACTGGGTATATAAGTGCAAGGTGGACTACTACTAATCTGTTCATCAGAAAGAACAGTTTGTGCCGTCATTGTTTATTTTTTATGCCTAGATCTTGTAACCTGAACAACTGCTTCGAAGGTAACAATATGCAATATATTAACTGCTATTGATCTCTTACTGTTTGCCAGTGACTGGGTAGAAGTGGACATGAGGTTATTGTTTACTGGATATGAAATGTCAGTTTAGAAATACCAAAAAGTTCTTCATAAAAGCATTTGCAAACATTCACGAGTTCCTAAATTCTATTCCCTTGACCACATGCATGCACACACACATACTTCATTAAAATAGATTTTTTTTTTTTTTTTTTTTTGGTATTGGGAATTGAACTCAGGACTTTGCACTCTGGCACTGTACTGGTGAACTAAATCCCTGACCCTGAAATCCATCTTTGGTAGTGGTTGAAAATAGTGCAAATACACTTAAAACACTGGAGTAAAGTTCCATGACATTGGATTTAACAGTCATACAGGTAACAAAATAAATTTGATTTCAATACAGTTAAAATATTTTTCTACTAAATGAATCATTCAACACAATAGGAGGAATGCTACAGGATGGGAAAAATTGTGACTCGGATATATGACGAGCAACTCATATTCAGAATATGTTAAGTCCTATAATTCAAGAAACAACCATCTCAAAATATGGACAACATCCTTCAACAGACATTTCCTCCAAAGAAATAAGCATTCATCATTAGAGAAGTGCAAATAAAATCACAATAAAACACATTATAACCATTAGGATAGTTGTTATGAAAAAAGGAATAAAAATTACTGGCAAAGATACAGAGAAACTGTAATTATTGTGGATTTCTGGTAGAAATATAAAACTGCCCAAAAGTGGAATACCTGGGTCAAATAAGACCTCCAATCCCAGCTTTTTAAGCAATCT